AAAAAAAAGAAAAAAAAAAGATGATCTTAATCTGAAACCATGGATTCCAGCTACCAGAGTAAGAAATGCCCAGAATTTTTTCTCCTGGGCAGAGACTGTATTAGGACTGGTCAGAACTGTCAGTCTCAAGAACTCTGTTGGCTTGAGGTTTGCATTACCCAGCAGCTGTGTACCAGCATTTCTCTGGCATGACAACCCAATATGGGAATTACATATTGTCCCACCAAAATGACAAAAACCAACATGGCAAATGCATTTTAACTCTTCAAAAGCCATATAAAGCTCCTCTGCTAGAATTTGGGTAGCTCTGAACTTGAACATGACCACACACTTTACATTTCCAGAGGAGCAGAAATAATCTAATCTATCACATAAGAATAACACTTGTGATCGACTTTAATACTAAAGGTAAGAAATATTACAAAATATCAGTTTCTGCAGTAGACTTTGGAGAAGTTAATAATTATGTATGCTCTAAAAGACAGTAAGTCTAATAATACTTGTATATTGTTATTTCAGTGGCTATTTAAAGTATCAAATGTTATTTAAACACAAACTACATATACAACATACAAAAAACCCCTCTGAAAACATTTGGGTATTTACTAAGTATAAGGCCCTGGACACTAACAGTAACATTTCCTAAAAAACAAAACTGTTTAATGCAACAAACTTGACAAAATTATCCAGGATTTTCTCATATCCACTCCTTTCTGGTTTCTGAGAGGAAGTGGTAACATCCCTAAATCTCTTGGCTCATTTTAGGATCTTAAGAATCACATACAAACATTTTTTAAAATGCTGGCTTTTGTGGGTCTTGTAGGTTACTTGCCACAGTAAAAAGATAAACATACTATTCTCTCTTTGAGCATTTTCAACTAAAACATGCTTCTCACTATTTAAAGAAGCTCAGCTCTGAATATAAAGTACTAGTGAAAAAAAACCACATTCTAATTGCCTATTATTTATTTGCACAAAGACATTCCTCTTACTGCACTTGTCATAAATGGAACAGAAATGGCACTATTAGAAATCACTAAAAATTACTCTGCCCCCTAAAGCTCTCCAATGTTTCTATAGGCCTTATTTTCAGATAGACATGCATCAACTAAATGAATATGCTACTGTGTAACATCTCCATCTATAAGGGCTGCATTTGGAACTATTGAATGGAAAACGAATTTTGCAAAATATCTTAATTTCAGTTAGTTAAGACTTAAAAAGGAGGCCAACCACAATCTCACTCAAGGGTTTTCATCCCATTTTCCGCAAGTCCAATTTTTAGATACTTCTGAAACTAACCTGATGCTTGCTACTGTTGTCCGTCTGCAGCAGTGCAGCATGGTTTGCAACCTTCCGTAAGATTGTCAGGTAACTGAAGCACAGTGATTTAACTGTTTCACCATGAGCATTTACCTACAAAAAAAAAGTTAATGCAAACAAATACTCCTGAAAATAAACAATAATCTAAAATAAATGCTATTCTTACAAGGTATAATGCATTAGCAATTCTAGGTAGTACAATAATTGATTCCAAAGATATGCATACTGCATTTCTAACAAAGATGCAGCAAGGCTTTTTTTTTCCCCCCTCAGCTTTGTGATCCTATTAATAGAAAACATCTTTTCAAAAAGAAAAAAACACCACAGCTATGTTCATAGTTTGTTAAACATTTCAGATAGCGTGATACCTTGAGAAACTGCTAAGAGAACCAAGAATTACTCAGGAGACAAAAAGACAGTAACTCTACAACTGATTCAATTGTAAATCAAACCAGAGCTGTTTGAATGACTTCTTATCCTATGACTGCTAACTTTACTTTTTTCTACAGCAAAAATGTATAAAGTTTTATAAACATCTCAAGTAACATAACTCACACAACTTTAAACATTCAACAACGTAGCAGCAGCAACAGCATCAGCTATTTTTCTGGTTGTGGTTGGCTGATTTGACCAATATTTGTTTTCCTTTCCCTTCTCAAGTTACTAAATTTCATGGTTAACTTTAGAATAAGACAGTCTGTAAGAGCACTTAAGTATCTGCAGACCTGCCTACTGCCATTTGTGAATCAAGTTCAACGGCGTTTTACTTTTTCTAAGAAACGTTACAAGACATAGAAGTCTGCAAAGAACAAATGCTAGTATCCTTGGCATATTAAACAGGCTGATAGAGGTATTGTTTTCAAAGAAAGATGCAGAAGACTTAATAAACTACATCACCTGTAATGAAAAAAACAAAACAAAACACTACTCAAGGATCAAAACAGGCCAGAAGGAAAATAGGGAGAAGCAAGCATGAGACATACGCTTCTAAATGTTTAAAAGACGTGCTTAATCTGAGCTTTCTGAGCAATGCAGGCAAAACAAATACAAAGCTATTAATCAAGATTAATCAAGTGTTGGCTTCAGGGAGACCTCATTGCGGTCTTCCAGTACTTGAAGGGAGCCTATAAACAGGAGGGGGAGCGACTGTTTACAGGAATTAATAGTGACAGGATGAGGGGGAATGGTTTTAAACTAAGAGAGGGGAGATTTAGGTTAGATATTAGGAGGAAATTTTTCACTGTGAGGGTGGTGAGGCACTGGAACAGGTTTCCCAGAGAAGCTGTGGATGCCCCATCCCTGGAGGCATTCAAGGCCAGGCTGGATGGGGCCCTGGGCAGCCTGCTCTAGTGGTTGGCAACCCTGCCCACAGCAGGGGGGTTGAAACTAGATGATCTTTAAGGCCCTTTTCAACCCAGGCCATTCGATGATTCTATGATTAAAGAAGTCCAGAGAAGATACAAGGAATTTGCAAAGCTGTTACTAGTGAACAAATTTCTGGTTGTGCTCCATGGCTACTGTCACAGTTCTCCCTTCAATAAAGCAAAGCAAAGCACATGTTTAGCAGCACAGGACACAATCGAACTGCAGTTATAACACAAGCAAAGCCCACACAACCTGCTGGGTCCAGGATGTCTCTGATTTACAGCTTCTGCACACACCACCTGAGGTGTTTGGGAGCAGCATGCCCAACACATTAACTAAACATCCCAATGCAATACTCTTGCCAAGATCAACTATATCACAGGTGCACTTATTAATGCAACACATCCAGAATTTACTGCATAATTAACCACCTGCTGAGGGCATGCAAAGCAGCTTTGCTGTAATCCCAAAGTGCCTAACTCCATCAAGCTTGTCATGCAGCCACCCAAATTTCCAGTCAGGGTTTCCCAGAGAGAAAACCCGAAAAAATATGCTCCAAAATCCAAACAGTGCAAGTTCTTACTTTGTAACAACAGTTCTTCCTTTTACGGCCACTGTTGCAGCTACAGGGCTCTCCTCCTCGTAATACTAAACTTACATCCTCTGTCTCTAGCACAGCCTGGTACACTGCTTTCTGGAATTCAGTCAGGGAACAGTACACCATCTGCCAAAGAGAGAGCCCCAAAACCACAATTATGTGCAGCATACAATCAAAAGCAAAAGAACACTGCATCAAAAAACATAACACACAGAACACTGAAAATAAAGTAGAAACCAAGAATATATTTGCTCAAATAGTTATCAGAAATTATTCTACCTCCAAACAAAAAATCTTGACACCAAAATAGCTTGAAATTGTAGCCAACATGTATGCATACTTATTTTATCTTCTCTCAAAATTCTACAGAGTATCAATGTCAAGCTACAAGAACCTGCTGTTAGGTTTCTATAAACCTTTCAGTATGACTTTTGTGGAGGTACAGGAGGAGAAGGGAAAAGTGAGATAAATAAATGCATAATTGTAATTATGGATTCCCTTCTGCTTTGTCAGTTGCTTAACTTGCCCTTTCTTTCCTCTTTTTAGGCTCTAGCTGTTGTAGGGCACTACCACAGGCAGGATAAACAGAATAAGCAATGAGAAAGCAAGGATCTACACAGTGCTATGGCCAAAACTCTTATCCCTCTTCTTAGAGACCATGGGTGGCATCTCCATGACATCTTTAGTCTTAAGCAGCAGGAGACAGAAATCCCAAGATCATTCCTCAACCTAGGCCACCCACACAGTAGCAGCACCATGCTGAGCTATAATAATACAGCAGTAACTTGAACATATACTCACATTAACAACAGAATGAATAGAACCTGCTAGATTTAGAAAAGCGATTGACTGACATTTGTGTTAATCTTTCCTTCAGAGGACAGTTCAGATGACATTATTATACACTAAGGATGAAGAATAAGTATCAAATTTTGAAAACAAAAGTAGCTGCAAACTGATGTATTTGTCTACTTAGAAGGAAAGCACAAATATATGTAATAAGAATTTATGAGAACTCTTAGCTATAGTCATAAAGTACTATCACTTCATGTAATGTTTACAATAGCGTTAGACAAACAGGATTACAGACCTATCAACAATCAGTTTTAGGTTTGGAGGTTTTCTTTTATTTAGTGACGTAAAATGAGGGAGTTAAATATTAAAAGCATACTGTTCCATGCACAAAGTGTCAAGCTGCAAATTCATAAGTCTTACACAGAATTTCAAGAGATTTACATATATTACATTGGGTTTGCCCAGATAAATACAAAAGTGCACATAGAACAGATGTGTAAATCACGTGTCAGAAGTCTAGCTGAGCACTTTCATGCTTGATTAACTCTATTTCAACATGCAATCATAGTAATTATGTGAACAAAGCACATTACACGTGTGCATTTTTTCCAAGGCTCTGTATTCTTCTTAAATTCATAAGCTCAAAATAAACCATAAACTACTACAGGGATGATTAAAGAGAGAAAACACACACAAACAAAAGAGATACATTCATTAGCATCACGTTTGAAATGTGCAGGCACTCTTACTCTGTCTTCCTTTTTTGGCAACTGATCACTGATAAGCGCTTTGGTACGTCTCAGAAACCAGCCAGACATTTTTCCTGCTAGCTTCACCATGGCCTTACGACCTGTTGCTAGCTCTCTTTTAGTTGCAGTGTGCCTCTGACCATGCTCCACTGGATCAGAAAATTTCTTCTTGAAATGTACTCTGCTACCCAAAAGTCCTGGTACAGCCCTATTAAAAAATAAAAGGGAGTGGGGGGTGTGTGAAGGAATAACGGCATTTTCTTTACTCCAAGGCAGTCTATCCTTTTCCATTGATTAAAAGCACACCATAAATTGTTTCTGGTTAACAGCAAGAGATCTTAAAATAACAATCACTCAAGAAGTGAATAAAAATTGTGTATATAAATAGAAACACATACTACTTCCAGACAAACCATTTTTTCATTTACTTTGTGATCCTCAAACATTAAGGGATTCCCCTTAGGAAGAGGGTTGTTATCTCCAGAGAACTGAAAGCTCAGCAAACTAACAGAAGTCAGAAGCGTACAGAACCTCTAAACTACAAGGCTGCTCTGGTTCAGGAGCCTAAATTGGAAGCTAGGTAGTCACGTTCTAAATTCTTACTGCTTTTATTAAAATCAGGTTATGCAGATATTACAATTTACTAAATGAAATCTTAAGAAACCTAATAGCAAAAAGAATTTAGTATTCATTGGCAGCACTACGTACTGGAACAATCTATTAACAAGATCAGCATAGTTTTAACAGACCAGATGCAATGTTAAGCTTACTATTGAAGTTATTTCTTTCCTGATATTTCAATTCAGTCTGTATATCCTTATATTTAAGGTATGTTCGCTTTGTTCCTTCTCTGTAAAGCATCCCCAGAAAGTCTTCTATGTTCAGATTTACATACAGGGTTATTCCCACCCCTCCCTCTCCATTAAAAGATTTCCTGGACAAGACTGTTGCTTTGCAAATATGTGCACTTGTGCCTTGTCAAAAACAGCAAAATATTACTACTTTCATCTTCCAAGTCAGAATGACCCGCACATATTGGACAGAGTAAAGGCACAACATTGTTCAAAGTTGTGTAATGATTCTCTATCTACTCTGTGGAGGACAGAAGAAGAAATCCCTCCTTAGAAAAGAAAGGTAAACATAGGGGAAAAAAAAAATAATTTTAACTGCTTCACAAATTTCCCAAAGAAGCCAGACAAGAGGAGCTCAGAATGCACTAAATAATTGCATAACTCATACCAGGAGCCCACCTCCATAGATGTATTGGAAAAAACATACTTACATTCTCACAAAACATTGAGGGTTTGGGGGAGGGGGTGGGGGGGGGTTTTGGGGGTGGGGGGGCGGGGGGGAGTAGGCGGCAGGGCATTGTGCTTTCTTGGTTTTTTTTGACACAGATGGGTCCAAATCACCTAGCTCTACCCCAGTTCCACTCCATGGTCAACACATACAGGTGTTTAACCACAAAAAAGTTTTATTTACCAGTCCATAACACACCAAAGTTCCTTCATATTGTTTTGAAGAATGGTTCCAGTAAGACCTATGCGAACAGGACATTTTAATGACTTCATGGTTTGAGTTATTTGAGCCTTTGGATTCTTGATTCTATGTGCTTCATCCACTATCACAGCAGACCATTCTACACTGCAGATCAACAAGAAATATTTTGTTAACTTAAACTACTTATCCCATCATCCCACATACACATAAAAAGTGAAGTCAGCCACACATCCAGCTGTGATTATTATAAGACACTATTAACTTTTGATTTTCCTGTTTTACGTTGTATTATACTACTCAGTTTCCTAATATTCTGCTGTTTAGTAAATTCAGTTGCCATAGTTGAACATAATGGCTAAACTACATAGCCAAATAAATGAATTAATGTTAACTGTATGAAACGCTTTCTGTGACTATGAGCGGCTTTCAATCTCTGACGCAATCAGTCCAGCACATCTCACCAGAACTAATTCCATTCATAAGTTAGATTTAGTAAAATTAAATAAATCTCTGAAGGTATTGAAACACGCTTAACACAGGTATGCTTAATTTTCCAAACAAACCTATCCAGTGTAACTAGAAGTAGACTGAAAGCACTTCAAACTGCATGGTTTCCTAGATGAAAGCATCAACCAACTTCTTTAATATCTATATGATACCAATATGGCAAGGAGTTTTAATACTTTGTCATTTGTGACTAGGAGGAACATACCTAGAAGCAAGGAGCAAAAGATATTTTACAGCCAGTTCAAGCATAAATCTTGGAGGTAGAATGACCTGCATACTGCAACATAATTTAAGTCATCAAGTCCCTAGGAAGAGATTTATTAACTTCATGAGATCGCTTTATACATATGAATGAATATTTCAGAACAGAATCATATCCACTTTGATTAAACTTCAAGCAGCAAAAAGCTGAAGCAAACATGTTTAGAAGGAAACCTCCTTAGAAGATTTAGTTCACTAATTGGAAGGCTGATCTTGTAGTATATTTGATGTCTGATAAATACATTAATTCATACCCGAGTTCCTTACATTCCTAAGATCTGCTAAAAATTGGAGTTTCTGAAAGAAGCCTAAGAGATGAGCATATGCTAGCTCTTTCAACATAATCTCTTGTTATGCTGATTCACATGTAAAACTGAGACTATGTATTCTTAACAGTGATAATCAATTATTTAAGACAAATTTTTGGGGCAAATCCATCATTCTAGCTAAGCAAGATACATAGCCTCTTCCAGTGTGACAATCATAGGCCCATCCAGTCACGTGCTCTCCAGAAAGAGTTTGGTAAATCTGTACGCTGAAGCAGTCACACATCAGATCTGCTCTGCACACGTCCCTATCTCCTGAACACTGTCTATTCAATGTCCAAGCCTAAAGAGTTCCTCAGAAAGACAACTGCTAACACAACTCCTTTAGTCTTCTCCTATCTGCACTTCTTTTTCAGACCCAGGCAAAGAGATAGATGGCGATTTGATTGTTTTAGTGATGGCTGTCCAGACCACTAGGACACTCTCTAGAGCCTGGACCTTTCCCAACACCTAAAATGACAAGACCTGAAGATCCACTGACAACACCAGCTGCTAAGGGCAGGTTGCTACTACTAGCTATGCAGGCAACTGGTACCCTACTTCCAAGATGACATAAGAGAAGGACCAGTAGGATCAGATGAGAGTCTAAATGCTCCTGAACATAGCCAAAGGAGAGGCAAAACTCCTAGTCTGAAAACGCAGACATCTATAGAGCAAATAAAGTAGGATTTCTAATACAGTCCACTGTCAAGAAGACCTTGATTCTGCTAAGGCCATCAGGTATTTAAAACTATACACACACGTACATCTTATATCTCAAATTTTCTAGGACTCAATAATTTCACCAAGCTGGTGAAAAGTGCCAATAACAAGGAAAATACCTTTTGAACGTTTGCTAAAAATTCCAGTTTTTTTTTTCTCCTTACACTGTACTGAAAGAAATATCTTCTGCATAGCTTTTAGCTACCACCGGTTTTCAGGCAGGTAATTCCTGCATCTTTTAGAGAACGCTTAATGAACAGGTTAACAGCAAAGACCAGCTTTACAAAAACTATTCAAACACTTACTTCTCCCAAGCATCCCACTATAAAAACAGTATAGGATAAACTCCCTAAAGATAGTTAAATGGGATTCTCCTCTTCAGCACAGTGTGTCACTGGATTTAACAGTAAATACTTTACCCAGAAAGAATAAGTACTTGCAAAGAACAATGCAAAATTAGACAGTTAAAAATTCTGTGTGTAGAAAAATACATTAAAATAATTACCTGTTAAATTCATCCAAATATAGGCGAAGTATCTCATACGTTGTAAGGGCAACTTCACATTTCCCCTGCTTGATGCGTATCAAGTCATCATCTTTTTTATTGCCATGTAAGACAGAGACCTTGAAGTACCCCCATGTGTCTAACTCATCCCTCCAGTTGTACAGCACTGAAAGAGGGGCCACTATAAGGAAAGTCTGAAAACAAATAAATGTTATAGCATTACTGGAAAAACTACAACCTAGCACTTTCTCAATTAAAGAAAGTCAAAATCTTGAGCTTGATTCTACTGCTTTGAACAGTTTGAACTGCTTAATTCTGTCACTTCAAAGCATAGTATAGCAAATATCTGAAGAGCCAATATAAACTCAGAAGAAATCAGTTTACTCAGGACATGTATATAGCAAAGAAGAAAAATACTGTAATACTAAAAAAAAATAAATACCTAAGTAGTGCTACTTTCTCAAATTATACTCTAATAACTGCAATAAGACATGAGATAATATCACTCTACTTTGTTACACCATCTGCATCTATATACTGCAAAATGTTTTACAGATGGAGAAAACAAAAGGACGAAGAGGGTAAGCAGCTTCCTCCAATCCACAAATCTAGTCATCATACAACTTCAAAACAGAAACATCTGAGATGGGTTTAAAAATTTAAGACAGCTCATACAACTCATTTAACATCATAGTGATGTGATAAAATCAGTGAGGCGGGAAGGGACCTCAGGAAGTTTCTAGTCAAACTTTCTGGTGAAAGCAGGGGCAACACTGAATTGAGACCAGATCATTTAGGGCCTTCCCAACTCCGGCCTTCAAAACCCACCAAGGATAGCCGTATACAACCTCTCTCTGTGACCTGTTCCACTACTTAATTGTCCTCAAAGTGATATTCTTCTCTTATTCTCAGTCAGAAGCATTCCTGGTTTTTTCATACGAAGCGCTATTCCTCCACTTCTTCCTCTCTGCCTGTATTTCCTGAAGAACCTGTATCCACTATTCACAGAGCTATTGTCATATAAACAATTCTGCCAGTCAAATATTCAATTATTCCCATAAAATACAAACAGCAATGCAAAACAAAAATTCCATGGGTCCTGCGATTGGTAAAATTAAAACGATCTTCAGATTTCTCTCATTCACACAGAACTTTTACATGTATCTTTATCTGCTGTAACTCTATGTGATTACCTAGGCTATCAGTCAGACTTACTTCTGACATTATGATAGTTATTCAATAAAACATGCTAGGTCACAAGAATATTAGCAATACATTTTCCAAATATATGCATGTATCTTAATTATTTAAGTATACTGTTACAAATATACACACATGCTTTTTGTACTTTAGAAACACAATCACACAAAACTATGTTTCTACCCACTGACATGGGCCTTTCAAAGTACTCTAGCTACAATTCTCATCCAATATTTCCAAATGTTTTGTGTTAGTGCAGATCAACAGTATTAACAGATTAGACAGTAAGAGTTAGAATATGCATTATGACAGTCTGGAAAACTGAAGGCTTCCCTAACACTACTATGAAGGACAAGAACCCCTGATCTACCTATGTAGCTGAATTTTAAAAATGAATATACATAAACTCCTAAAGCAAACAAACAAACAAAAAAATCCAAGTATTGCCTTTTCCCAAAATCCTTAAGCTTGTATCATGAAAAGCTGTACCTTCTTGGGATTACACTTTGATTCTTTTTTCATTGTCCTCAGTAAAAATTCTGGCATATTATTTTCAATATCTTCACGTGTTCCTTTTTTGTGCAACACTGCAGCCAAAAATGAAATAACCTTGAGAAAGAAAACAACTCTCAGTGATTGTGTACAAAAATGCAAACACAAATTGAGTGAGTTCCACTGAAAATAAGCACTTAGGACAAAATCCTGGATGGGATATAGTAAGGTGGTTTGGGGGAAGGGGGGATTGCATTTTTTGTTTGGAGTTTTTGTTTGTTTTAAAATAGGAACACCTTCCCTTGAAGAATCCTGAATTCATTATAAGAGCAATCAATTGCTCTATTTTACTTTTTCATCCTCTACGTGGAAAAGTCCCAGAACTACAGAAGAGACTCTGAATGAGTCGGGAAAAATTAGAGTTGAGACATGCCTTGCAATTCTCCTCCATTTTCAGAGTGACACTTGAACCTTGGATGAGAAAACAGAAGGAAGAGATACTTGCTAATTAAACCCCAACACTATCTGCAAAAGGAAGAAGAGGTTTGAACTAGAGGTTAGATTTTTACTAATATGTTGTTTTCCATATGTTCCATTCCTTCCAGCTCCTATTGTTAACTTCAAAACTAGTTCTTTGTGTTGTTTTTGGGCTATATTCTCTCATCTGCCTCAAAGCAGTCAAGGTGATTTCCCATTGATGATGAGAAAACACTTATGGTAACACATCACAGAAAAGACAAACATCCCAGCATAGGCTATTCCAAGTGGCTCCCACGGTAATCCAAAACAGGAAGAAGGCACAGACATACCATCCAGAACATGCAAATCCATAACAATCACTTGGGATAAATGGTATCCATGGGGCCAAGCAACAGCAAAGACCATATGCACCAGAGAGGTGCCCTTCTTTTGAAAACTCCACAGGCCCCCTTTACTCAGAGCAGCCAGCTCCAGCAGCTTCCTTTTGCAGCTGCTACACAGCTGCTCATAGCAAGGCAGGGGTAAAGCTGTCAGCTGTTGATTTCCAAAAAAAGAGGAAATTTCCAGAGCTTTCATGGGAAGGGGATGAGCCACCCAGGAGTACAGAAGTGCAAGAAAAATACCTGAGAGGAATAAAGGTACATATGGAGAAGAGAGATGACACCTAACGCATAGGAGGCCACAAAGTGAGGAAGAGACATGCAGAAGAAAGAAAAAAAAAAAAAAAAAAAAAAGATACATATTTCATATAAACGGAGGCTCAGAGGAACTGCAAGTTTGCACAGGTCATTTAATTTTTTTCTTTTTAATCCTTTTGAGAATATTCAACTGAACATAAGATCACCATGTTTATTCCAGCTCCTCCATTTCTGGAAGAATTCTGCATCACAAATTTGTAACAAAAGCAAAGGCTGTAAAAGGCAACTCTGTTGAGAAACCTCTGGCTCTTCCAGATAAAGCAAGAAGCAATCGAAAGGGCTCAATAGGAAACTAACTGCAATCACATTAAGAAACAATACTCTACTTGCCTCCACCTCAACTTCAGCTTGAAATGAAAGAGCCTTACAGTCACGTCAATTTAAGGAAAAATCAGTTCAGAAGTACAAAGAACATTAAAATGCCAAAGTTTTCTAGAAAGTCTGTCTCATAGATCATTCAATAATACAGAAACAATAAGGTTCAGTCAACTGACAACCGTAAGACAAGTTTTCTCTAAGACTAAATGAGTTACTTCATGAAGTTTAACTAACACTTGCTCTTTCGTACATATTAACTTTTTCTAAACAAGTGAAATTCTCTGTTACTTTATATCCACTGAACTGCCTTCCCATACAGAACGTGAAGAACACAAACAAGGGTTTTTTTTAATAAATAATACACAAGATATTCTTCAAAACTTCTACCTTTCTTCTGCAAACAACACTACGATTAAAAGAAATAACCATCAGATGTGAATTTCACACAGGAACACACTGTCACTTGTGTGATAAATGTAACCAGGTCACTAGAAAATCAACTATAAGATTCAAAAAATACAAGAGATGCAAGGAAGACAAATAATTTTTTTTCCCCCATCACTTACTACTATCTTGTATAGATGCTTCTTAGTATATGAAGTCAGATTATGTGCAGTTCTAAGTAGAAACAAACTTCCATAACCACCAAGTTCTTAAACTGACATGGACAAGAACCATGGCCAAGATTAGGTAAAAGGCAAGGTAAATGGATGCAGTTTAGTTTTAATAAACATCTTGTAACAGACCATCAGCAGCTACACAAATCCATGATGCACCTCTAAAGTGTATCCAGAGAAGTTTTGCCAGTTCAGTTTACTCACTCCTCTTGTCAAATTTGCTACAGAACAATACTTCTTTGCACTGACAGGTGTCTGTTGACATTCTCCTAAATGTAAGGGCAACAGACACTACAGCCAGTATTTGTCAGTGAAGGAATGAGTTTACATTTGATACGTGGAGGGAGAAAAGCGAGGGGGACAAAGACTAGCCACCATAGGATTCAAGCTGCTAACTTAAAACCATGCAGATTAAAGAGAATTTTCAACATAAAAATACCCTAATTTTAGTAAAATAAATAAATCATTTGGGCCACACTGATTCAAAGCATAATGGAAAAATACAGCTATACTTTGTCCTTTCATCAACCCAAGCTGTATTTCCAAAAGAGTGATAAAGATAACATGGAACATCTAAGCACTTTTTCCAGAGATGGGAGTAAATGTGTCTGCCACTCCTCATTCCCACTATAGTCAAACTATTTGTTTTCAGGAAAAAAGACAAGACATTTAGAAGACCTACAGTCAGATAAGGGCTGTAAGTACTTTTACCATACTCCAGTGCAAACTACTTTCATGGTGCACAGGTAGCAATCCTCAAAATACATTCAACATAAAATGAATACTAACATTTTAACTACCATAATTAGCCATGCTTACACTAAGAGGGGGCACACCCCTGTTTCGTGGCCTGACAGGAGTGAATCTTAAATCAGAAATGGCTCTAAGCGCTGTCCTTGACCAGCACGTCCTGCCTCCTCCAACTTCACAATAGCAAAGGAAGCTTAATTGTGGTGGCTCTTGTAAATACATTTTTTTTTTAAATATTTACAACTCACAGAAAACACACTGTCAAAAGAATTATCTATTCTTTCACTGTAACAATCAAAAGGAATACCTGTATTGTCTTTCCAAGGCCCATATCATCTCCAAGAATACATCCCCTTTTATTAGCATAGTGTCCATACAGAAATTGGGCTCCTTCTCTTTGATAATCACGCAGGTATCTGTTAATTGTATACGGGATAAAATCACCATTGTCAGACAACTTAAAAGCAGCTGCGGGAGACGGAAGATTTCGATCAGGAAAATATGGCTTTTCCAGATCACCATCATCAAATATTAAGCTTTTCCAGGGTCCTCTACTGGCTTTGACTCTACAAAGTTTAGTTATTAGTATTTTCCTTTCTTCAGACTCCAAGAAGGATACAACAGCAAACAATTTTCCATTCTTGTCCTTTTCAATAGACAATATTGTTCCTTCAAGAAGTTTCCCATTTTCAAGACAAGGGGCAAGGCACTTCTCCCCAATACGCCAATTACCTATTAAAAAAACAAACACACACAGTGATAAACTGGCCATATGTACAAAGTATTTAATTTTGTCACACTAATAAAACATTTGATATAAATTTATTTGACAAAATGCATACAATTAAGATAAAAGATTCTACTGAACGTAGTACTAGAATGAGGATACCTGTTACTGTTTAGAATGAAATCCTGAGCTAGACATAAAATTATAGTCTGCTTAAAAGCTGCTATTTTACAAATAACTGAAAGTCTATATGAAAAAAATCTGCTCTAAAAGCCAAATTCTGATAACATTAAGTTGCTAAACAGTGGCTTCACACAGGCAAACACTGATATGCTGATGCCTGCAGGTTTAGTGTCCGATTAAGAGACCACATAATCTGTGGTCACAAGGCCTTCTGTATTAGACACTTCTGATCTACCTGAATCTAGTACTGCAGTGTTAGTACAGTGTTCTATAATCACAACCACGTATGAAAACATCACCTTTCTCCTAACAAAGTCTGGAACAGGTAAAAGAAAACCTTATGTTTAGAAACAACAGTTAAGAACATACAGTAGCATATCATTTCCCTATATTGCTCATAGAAGTGGCTAACTACTCAGCAAACTGCTTTCATAGCTGTCAAGTCTGGAACTTCTCAAGTTTGTTCCTCTATGTATTCTCAGCCTTAATACAGCATAGCAAATATTAATAACAGAGATGATTGAACTGCTTAATTTTCATCTAATTTTTATGTTTCTTGCACAAAGATGATTTTTAAATGGTATGTATGCTGCTAACAGAGAAAGATAAGAACAGCAGTGCATCATGGTCCAAAGAAACCACATTGTACTGACAACAAAAAGCCCAACAAAATGCCTCTACTACAAAAAATCAAGGCCTTCATTATTCTTAGTAAAAAGAGAAAGACATCGTAAATAACGGTTGCACACAAAGTTTTCCAAATCTGAACTAAGGAATTTTGTCCCTTTGAGTTTGCGGAAACAACTTCCAACCTTCCCCTGCTCAGCCATCCCAAAACAAGAAAGGGATACAGGATTAACTTCAGGAGTTTTACTGGTTCTTATCTATTTGTTGGAATAAGTTCTGCTATTTCTGAGAAAGACATTATCAGTAGCAGTGAGAAGCACCTACGATTTTTATGGGAAGGAGCAAGTCAGAGAGAATCTTGCATCAGAGCAAGTATTCGTACTTCATACCTACAACCAGTTGTAGTACAGTCTTCTGGGTACCTCAACCCAGTTACTTTTCAGAGACAAGGAAAGGAAAAGAAGAACTCCTGAAGGCAAAAAACTCCACCTTCCCCCATATTTATGTCTCAGTACAAAAAATTTATGGAGAAGATAGGTTCTTCTCACCAGTTCCTGAGCTCCTGGAAGTGTACACTCATAGGACTATTCCCCACAATGTATTAGTTAGATTGGCAATAACTATACTTCATACTTTAAATTACTTACACTAAAAGAAAAACAAAAACACCCATGTAGCGAACCATTCTGCAACCAGCACTGGCCGTAAGTTGACATCCAGGTAACAATAAGAATAGCACTAGCACATGGAATACCTTTCTCTAAAACTCTTCAGCCTTAAAGTATTGTTTCAGCTACAAATATTTCCCGGGCCAGGTGTGGTTTGTCTGTTTATCAAACCCCTGATGACCTCTATTTTTCAAGTAGCTCCATTCCCCCTTCAACACATGCATATTTCTTGATTCAGCATCTTCTGACTACAAATTTTGCAGGTCTGCTCTCTAACACCCATCAAGCTTTTGCCTTCTATGAACTTGGAACCCACAATCTGGTACCCCTGCTCATGGCAGGGGGTCAGAACTTGATGATCTTTAAGGTCCGTTCCAACCCAAACCATTCTATGGTTCTATGATTCTAACCTAAGCTGATGGCCCATTAGTTCTTATATCAACAAGGTCATGAACCACAGCCTCTCCATTAGACTCATCATTTTGCAGACCTCTTTCATAACATCCCTCATCCTCCCTGCTTGAGAAGTTCAGTCCCACACTCTGTGACCTGTACATAAGCTGCTCCATACCTTCAGCCATTCCCACTTATCTTAAGAGACTTGAAGCTTAAAGTACCTTTTTGACGCAAAGGGTGAAGTACAGACAATATATTCAACAAATCATATGTAACTCATCTCTTAAAGCTTAAGGCATTTGTACTGTCTCACACATGGTCATACTCATATCGATGCAAAAAAAAATATGCTTATGAACTTCCAGTAGCATCTAGGTCTTTGAGCAATTTCTCAAAATCAAGAAGCAAGACTGAACAAGTGAAACCAGCTATATACAGCACTGACAAATATGCAAAACAAAGTTTAAAATAAGATAGGATTTCCATAATTGCTGTCTCTTACAGTAATATCTGAAGTGACATGCAACATTAGTTTAAAGACTCTCAAGTTAAAACCATGATTTAAAAACAAAGGCACTGTCATCTTAACTAAGCATTTACTTGAGTTTAATGGGTTGCATATGAGTTGTCAGAATTAGAGTTCCAGGTGCAAAGTAGAATATATCACATTGAGCAACAGTTTCAGTATTATCAAATTCCAAACCTAGTGAGAAACAAGGAACAGAATGAGAAAAAGGGGAAAAAAAAGAAAAACAAAAAGTAAGGCAATGGTATTTAGGGCACTATTGCTACAAAACCCCAGAAGATAATGCTGTACAAGTCGAAGCAAGAATTGCTAGTTTAACTAGCCTGATTCACTAACTTCGTGGTTTTTGAAGCAGAACTATAATGTATGTAGAGCAGTATCTTTAAAAATGAAGAAAAATTATCCAGTATGGCTTCCTAGCATTGGTACTGCACACTTGCCATCAGTGAAGAAAGCTGATGTTCACAATGCTTGCATATACTTACCCCTTTTACCACAGCTGAACAAAATGTGCCATTATATATATCAACTACACTAAATCATGCTCATAATAGCCTACTGTCACACACTAGCCCCTTTCAACTACTCCTCTACAAAAAAAAAAAAAAAGGGCAAAATTATCATGAATGCTTTACAACTATTGAGGTCTGACCACTCAATGCAGAGCGCAAAGGGGTTTTTACACTCCAGTAAACGGCTGTCAAAGCAAAATTCAAGGATACTCTAAAGTAAAAGCATTGTTAAATTGTAAAGCTTAACTCTAAAGCTGGTAAACAAAACAGGCTAAAAAACCCCAGTACATTCTCTTCCAAAAGATATCACGGCAGGATGTTCCAAGTCCTCTTAACCACTTCGCGTTTCCATTTGTTGCAAGAAACAAACCTAAAATGTACGCTTCTGATAAACAGAACCCATTCTAATAGAGTTTTCTCTCTTAATATTTCTAAAACACATATACCACCATGCTTCTTGCATTCAAACGCCTCAGCTCTCACGTCGAGAGAGGCCTGACAGCACGGAGACGCGGACAAGGGTGCTGCCAGCAAGCCCCCGGGAGCCAGCCGCCCCGCAGCCGCGCTCCC